CCACAGCAGTGAGAGGCCCGCGTACCGCAAAAGAAAAAAAAAAAAAAAAAAATTGAGGCATTTAGACCTAAACGGTTGTTGGGATAAATTAGAGACATCAAAACTGGCAGAGTTTAGTTTTGAAGAACACCATTCTGTCAGCTCTCCCTGAAATGTAATCACTCTAATATCAAGCTGTTTTTCTTCATGATGTGAAATTTGGCAGTGAGCAAAATCAACAAGGTCACAGCTTTGAAGAGGAATTCGTTGCATTTTGGCAGAAGAATGGTGGCGATTCTAATGCCTAGGAATGCTTCTTTCAAAGGACCTAAGAGAAAGCAGCTATTAATTATTTAGATTACTACAGGGGGGATGGAAGTTCACGTGTGTAAATATGCGTGTGTGTGTGTGTGTGTGTGTGCATGCACGTAAGTACACGTACACGGAAACTGAAGCCAATTTGGTGAAATTGATTTTTTATGCAATCTGCTGCCTTTAAACCCTTTTCCATTGGCCTTTCAAAAAGAAGAAGCAACAAAAATGCAAATAGAAAAATACTCTTAAACATACATGTGACAGAGAAAACGTGCAAAGAATGAGAATGGGAGAGATGCTTTTGTATATCTACGCACACGTGTGTGTGCACAGTGACATTTTGGTTGCCCACACAGCAAGTGGAAAGCAACTTGATGGAGTCGAGTTAGCCGTGTCTTGATGGTCTGACATGTCTCAAGCATTTCTGGGTGTCTCAGAACCAAATACCTGAAGAAGGCAGATTCAAAGGTTTCTTTGAATAGTATTTATACCTCAGACTTCTAGATTTTTTTCTTGGTCTGTCTCTATATCCTCAAACTCCTTAAATCTACTGCAGAAGGGATAGAAAATAGGTAATTGACTTACTGGCTTATGAATTAATAAGAGTTTCTAGGCTATTTCCCAAAGGACCCTTCACCTCTTCCTCCAAACATACACAGACACACACACACAAAGACACACACAGACACACACATGCACTCAGAATTATCTGCTGTTCTATATATATGTGTTGTGTGTCTACCAGATTAGGAATGGCATTTATTTTCAGGGTATTTTAAAGATTTCCCTGCAGGTTATCCAAAAAGTAGCTTTGGAAAACAAACCCTCCTAAATGACCACATTCAAATTGTCTTTTGAATGATGTCCTTGCTAACCAGGAAAATAAGCTCACTCCAGTATGCCTGAGGCAGCACTAAAAAAGAATCAGGCAGTGGCCTTAATGAAAATCCAGTTTTAGGACTGGGAGAAACTTAATATACTGTATCTTTTCTCTGAGGTCATGGCTCTATCCTCGAGGAGGTTATAGCAGATCATATTTAAGGCTGGAAAGCATCACATGTAAAATATGCCCTGGGAAGACAGCTTTAATTTACACTACTCCTGCATGTGCAAGGGAAGAAAATGGAGCCTTTAGTTCCTATGATGTGTCAATTTCAGGCTTTTTACATGATCAGGCAAAAGGCAGAGTGGGCTATGGGTCTGGGGACCAAGTTCTTTCCGTTTTAGACCTTGATTCTGTCTAGTTTGTGACCTTAGACAAGTCACCTCCCCTATTCAGGATTCTTATCTGTAAAATTAGGATGAACATATTGATCTCCATACCATTGTGGTTGAAAAGCATGAAGAAGATTCTTAGATTTCAAAGTATTTTGAAATTAACAAAACGCTTTACAAATATAAGCCATGATGTTAGGGATTTACACAGAGGAAAACTAATGCATGTAACTAGAAAGGGCAGAACTTCCTCCTAGTGGGGAAGAGGCTCCTGAAAAGGCAGAAGGGACTGGCTGCATTATTTAAGGCAGGTGGCATGAGACAGTGGTATAAGTGCCTTTTCCACCTCTGTCTCCCAAGTGGCCACTTGGTTTGAGTGCCCACAAGGTCAATTTGAGTTGAATTTCCAGTGTGCTGATGTGTGTTGATGTCAGTGTTGTTGAGAAACTTGTATTTCCCCCAGAGATGATTTGATACGCTTTTCTATAGATTCTGAATTCCTGATCTTTTCCCCCTCGTAGTGCTAATGTAATGAAAACAGAATTATTTCATAGCAATCCAAAGCCCTAGTTAATTCTCCCACTGACTGTAATTGTGAGTCTCTGACCTCAAAATCCACAGGGCAGTCTGTCGCTGGTGGAGCATTCTAACTAGAGCACAGGACTGCAATGGTTAGTGGGAGAACTTCAAGTAAAAAGAGTCTTATTTTAATTCATATTGGAACTTACCAACAAAGGAAAAAACAGTTCCTCTTGGGCCTCAGATGCTAACAGGAGCAAGGTTCTTCCTGTGGGGAAGGGAACCTCAATGTTTTTTCTAAAAAGTGTCCAGCTTTTCAAATTACCAGCCTGCTCAGTCCCCTAACAACCTAATAGTAGCCTCTCTATAAATAGCTTATCTCATTACATTCTTGTTTATTCTCTGTCTAGATGGTTTTGTGCTTCGTCCTTGCCTGCTGTTCATAGATTCCTAGGCTCAAAGCCAGCTTTGCATTTTCATCCTTTGGCATAAGCAGAGCATGGAGTGGAAATAAAGAGGACAAAGGCAGTGATTTCCTGTCTATACCCGCCACAAGTGCCCTGTCCCAGTGGCCCCAAGAGGCCAAAGTAAATGACACTTTTGTCAAGAATGTGAATGATCTAGGTAAATTACGAAACGTTAGATAAATACACACATATATGCATATGTGAATAAATGTGTGCATGTATGTATATATACACATATTCATGCATATATGTGCATATGTACACACACATATATATACATACCTGTTCTGTAAGAATATGTCCAAAACTGTAAATAAAAGGTAAGGAAGACGATGAGTGCCATCTCGTGGAGAGCCCAACCACTACATTTCCCAAATTATCTCTACAACAAACATTTTTTAAATGCCAAGCCGATATTGCTTGGAGTAAAGCTTTTCTTCCTACCTTTCCAGGTTGTTCATCCACATCATAATGTGTCCACTCCATACACAGTGTCATGGTCCAGCGTGCCAGGATACACCTTAGGGAAGGCACTGTGTTCATGGAGATGGGCACTGTGGTGAATCAGTAGAGATGCATTCACTACTGACCCCAGCTCAGGCAGACGTCTCAAAAGTTATGACAGTCAGTGACAAAGCTGATAACGGACTCCAGGACTCACAGTGTTTTATACATGACACCGTCCTGTGACCAGTTGTTGCTGCAGCCACCATTTTGCACAATGTAATCCAATCACATTGTTCACAGTCTGCCCACATTCAAAGCTCAGTTGATCAAGCCTTTTACTTTCTCTCAGTTAACTGGCATCACAGCCTCGTAGCCTAGCTACATGCATACTTCTATAAGCAATATTAATGCTCTACTGGATCAGTTGCCTGAGATACATACATATACGCAATGCCTGCTCCTACTTGTTGTATCTCAATATGCACAAGAAGGTGAACTGACTTCTTCCTGCTGCAGACATGACCAAGGACATAGGTTCTCATTCCCGGGAGTGTGAGAGTCCATGGTAAAATGGGGTTTCTGCCAAACATTACATGAGCATGATTAACTAACACCCTCTCATCACTCAGCAGGAGAAGAAAGTGTTTTGTAGCTATTACACAAGCAGGGAATGCAGAAGGGTAGCCGTATCAGAGCTTTTGGCAATGAGTGAAAAAAGGGCACTAATAGTAAGACTAGCTTACAGGTACCCTTTCATTCACTCATTCAGCAAATATTATAAAGTGCTATGTGTGTTGTCTGCACTATGGATAATGCAAGCGATCAAACCAGGCAAGAACTGACAAAGCTCCCTACCTTCAAAGGGCTTCCATTCTAGTCAGGATTATAGACAATAAGTAAGTGAAACATTCTGTTTGTTAGAGGACGATAAGAACTAAGGAGATAAATAAAGCAGAGAGGAGGAGGGAGAACGCTGAGGGTGGGGAGTGTTACAGTTTTACAGAAGGTTGCCAGGGAAGGCCTCATGAGAACATGACACTTCTGTTGAAACTTGGAGAAAAGAGAGCAAGGTTTGCAAATGTGCACGGCAAAAAGCAAAGAGCCAGAGACAGACCTATGCCTGGCAGGCCAAGAAATAGATTTCCAAGTGCTAGGTTAGGTTCTTTTTCCACAACACTGATAGAAATCCTGTTTGACAGTGAAAAATCCAGCACACCAGGAGATTGCCCAATGTGCCAGAGCCGGTAATTGGTGGATTTAGGTGGGAACCCAGCCTAGCCCTGGGCTAGATATTTTTACCCGCTAAACCCAGTAGCTGATCAGATGGGTCTCTTTTGGAGGTTAGGGAGGAGGAACTGTGGCAGGCTCAGAAAGAGTGTTATTAGGGACAGAGCCTAGAAATACCTCAGGATTTTTTTTTTGTGAAAAATAATTGGTACTTTTCCCTACAGACTATATTCTTGTCATAAATCCAAGAAATAAAATATTAATATGTGACCTCATCTGATATTCCACATTTTCGTATTTAAATTAGACCTTATAAATAAAATCGAATATTATAACAGCATATGGACCCGTAACTTCAGTTACCAATCCGGTGATGCTCCACCTGGGTTCTTGCAGAGTTCTTGAACGGGAGGAATGAGGAAAATAAAGTAACTGTGTGCCTACCAGAGTACAGAGGAATTGACCTTTGTCCAGCCATATCAGATGGTTTGAGTATTAGATTCATGGTCAATGTATAGAGGAAATGCATCCCAGCCCAACAGCGCATGCTCAGAGCAGAGATGCTACAGAGTTATCACGTGGACTGAGTACTCCCCTTGCCCGCAGGGTAGGAGACGCAGCGCTCACACCACCAGCCATTTGGCATCGGGAACAGGCAGCACAGCCACCACACTGGCACTGCCTACAGCCTGCCCTGCCTCCTAGGAGGGGTTTCTTTCGCCCACGGCTGGAGCAATCCAACCAGGGTAGTGTTGAAGTAGGCTGCTCGCCTGGTGTTGCTGCAGCCCCCTGTGGACGGCCCATTACACAGCTCTTGTTTTCCCTCCCCAGGCGGACCCCAGATCAGCTTGCCCACAGTGAGTGGGACGAAGCAAATCGGAGCTGCTTAAACACAGATGAGGTCATTTTTTTCTCATTATGAGTCTCATTACTCTTTGGAAAGCGCTTGAAGATCACTGGTTTCACTACCCTCAGAGTGTCACCAGGCTGGTCATCAAGGGGACCTGGGAACTCCTCTGCTGACCAAGTTCCAGCCCACATCCACACAGGTGAGAGTCAATTCTAGTCTGAAGTCTTTCTGAGATTTGATAACCTTTTTGATTCCCCATTTCGATATTTAACAGCAATAATAGAAAAGTGTTTGGAACATTTTATACCCCTCTTGCTGTCCTTTAAAGTTTTTTTTTCCTTCTGTTTTCAAAAGAATAGTTACAATTTCTGAAGTTAATTCACTGACTGCTTGAAAACCATTCAGTTGTCCTGAAGAATCTGGTTTCACCTCACAGTAAGATCTAGAAATCACATTTTATACTTTCTGTTCTAAAAAGTGATAGATGTTAAATATGTCCTGTTCTGTCTTGGCTTCTTTCTTTGACTTTTTTTTTTTTGGTTCTCTTATCTCATTGACTCCCTTATATCTCATAGGAAGAAACCCTCATTATTTAAAGAATCAGTACTGATTTAAAGGTATATACACAACTTTAGCATGGGAGATTCTGCCATAAGTGTGGTTATACCAAATGGTGTGTATGGAGAAGGGAAGCAATTTGGAGGGGCAGGGTGGCCATATAACGAAATGACTCGGATAACACGGAAGGGAAGTGGAGTGACCTGCCTCAGGGGTGGGACCTCCACAAAGGCTATTGTTGGCCCCAGCTCCAAACTGAAGCGGCTTCTTTTCCCTCCTCTTCTGGTTGTCCTGCCTTCCTGCCCCCTCCCTGGGTCCTGCTTTCCTCAGGGTCTTTCTTTTCTTTCTCTCTCAAAATTTTCAGATAAGAGATAGTACTAACAACAGCTGCCTTAACTTGAGCATGTGTGACAGTTAAACACTGCCTATTGTTAATCCTTTTAAAAATCCAGCTTTTTGCATATAAAAAAAGAAGTGCAGAGAAATTAAGAGATTTGTCCAGTGCCACACAACTGCTAAGGGGCAGAGGTGGGAATTTAACCCAAACTGGGCAGACTCTGAGCCCATCCTTCTTACATACTGTGCGACCACTTTGTGCCTGGGTGATGACTTGTTCCAGAAGCACTTGCATTTTGATTGTGATCATATTCAAAAGGTGAAGGGATGAGTTCCAAAGTTGAACTTCCAGACACTTGCAGACGTTGGAGAGGATGGGAGTAAAATAGCAGGGGGTCTTCTTTTACGGGGTCTTCTCAGCATCTTTCCCTTATGCAGTGTATTGCCCTGTGCATGTCTGTTCAACCAGCATTTATGGAACACATCTGTCAAGCTCTGTGCGAGGCTCTGGACATGATAATGTGGTTGTTAAGAACCACACTTCCCTTCTCCCTTCCTTAATAGCCTATCCTTTTCTGGAAAGTTTGACTTGTGGAGCAATGTCTCCAGGATCTATTCTTTTTTATTCTTATTAAAAATAATTCTCATCCCACCTTAACAGAATCCTATGATATCAGTTACTAGTGATGTTTAAATTTTTCATTCCCCTGCCCAATATTGACTGAATTTTTCAAATTTAGATTTGATCTGTTCGTAATTTGGAGAATGGTAAGCATCTGAAAGATGGTATTTAGTATGCCTGGTATTAAGCTTATACTGAAGTAAAGGACATGAAAGAGTCTAAAATTTGTCACCAAATGAAACCAACAGAAGCCTGCAAAGTGTCACGAGATACTCAGCATATCTTTAAATGGGCAAAACTAGTCCTTTTTCCATAGACACTGATTCAGTGACTGAAGGCAATTTTCTTGTCTTTTAACTTCTTAATTATTTTTAATTCAAATGAGACATGCCTAGTTTCTTTACCTGCTCCCCCTATGATTTTTGGATACCTCCCAGGATGTGGTTTACTTGTACATTATCTTTCTTAACATGTGGCGTTCAGAGTTAAAGACAGTATCTCAGTGGGAGCCCGTAAGACAAGAGTTCATGATCATCTAGTTGATCTGGAAACCACTTTTTGTCTTAGCTTAGATGGTGTCCACTTGTTTAGCAGTTTTCTCAAGGAATTGGTTTATATTGAGCTCTCACACTCAGAGCTTTTTCTCCCAAATTTCTTTAAAACTTTTTCTTTATCCTTAAAATTAAAATCAATTAAATTAAATGACACACATTTAAAAATTCTCAAAGGGAGAAATTTCTGTTTACACTGATAGTATTTTATCTTGTTAATATCAAATATATTTTCTCAACTTTAAAAAAATTTTTAATTGAAGTATAGTTGATTTACAATGCTGTGTTAGTTTCAGGTGTACAGCAAAGTGATTTAGATATATATATATAAACTCTTTTTCAGATTCTTTTCCATTATAGGTTATTACAAGATATTGAATATAGTTCCCTGTGCTGTACAGTAGGTCCTTGTTGTTTATCTATTTTATATATAGTAGTGTGTATCTGTTAATCCAATACTCCTAATTTATCCTTCTCCCTCTTCCCCTTTGGTAACGATAAGATTGTTTTCTATGTCTGTGAGTCTGTTTCTGTTTTGTAAATAAGTTCATTTGTATCACTTTTTTAGATTCCACAAGTAAGTGATATATATTTGTCTTTCTCTGACTTATTTGGTTAATCTATTTTCTCAGCTTTTTCAGGTGTTTTTTCATCTTGGTGATAGTGGGGAAGGTTCTGGAACTGATGAAACAAAATTAGTTATGGGATAAAAATGGTTGAAGTTAAGTGACAGGTACTTAGTGGCTTATTCTACCATCTTGTATTTTTTGCATATGCATGAAATTTTCCAAAATAAAAATTTAAAAAATTACCCATATATTATATTTTTGTTTATACCTAGCCTTAACCATCTCATCTAACAATACAGCAAAAACTTTGCCCAATGTTTTGCTGAAATCAAAATACACTTTGTCAAAAACATCCCTCTCAGTCAATTGTCTGGCAAATTTTCAGAATTCCTCCAAAATTGGAATTAAGCATTAAAAAATTAAATGACAAAGAAACTTTAAAAAATTATTAAAATCTCTGTTAGTTTGGTTTCCAATCTTGGCCAAAACTTTGTCACATATAACAGTATTCCCTTGGTATTCTGTCACTGCTATAGCATCAAAGTTGTACATTTATGTATATTTTGGGACCTTAGTTATTAGCTAGGCTGAGTCCAAGGATGAGACAGCTCATCCATATATGAAGAGAGGTAAAGGTCACTGGGTGCAGAGACATCAATGGGAATAAGAAGGAATCATATTTACCAGAATTCCTCTAGGGGAAAGGAGTTGCAAGAATTACTTTGATAAGACTCTGGGGATGAGAATAAAGACTTCCAAGACTCATGCTCAGGTTACAATAAAAAAGTCTCTAACCTGATTCTGAGGATGGTGGGTCAGGTAAGGGCAAGGAGACATTTGTGGAGTGTTAAGCTCATCTGGGATGAGGACTGAATTACTCAGATCAGCTCAGCACAGCTGGAGCACCCCTGCAATCAGCCTCACCCCACAGAACATATAACTCCTCTCCTTAGTACATATTGAACAAATATTTTTAAACCATTGGTCTGAAGGGACAACAAATTATTAAGTCAGCCCTGGGTCTCAGAATGTAATCTGCAAAAATTAAAATTATAAGCAGATTACTAGAAAGTAAAAGAACACTTTACTGACACTTTTCTAAAGATCTAACTCTCCGGATGATGTCATCTAATTTTGCTTCAGGAATTGTAAATGTTACATGTTCAAAGACTTAGGAGAGGAAAACACACAACTGAAAAGAAGTGAAATGCCAAAGAAAATGGACTGAGTCACAGCTCAGGACCCCCGGCCACCCCCAGGGCAAACTGAGAGTTATCCAGAAGGGCTTTACCAAACCGGGCCGGCCAAAGGGCCAGAGTAGCTACGAGGACTGTTTCCACCCTCTTCCCTGAGCACTGTAGACACAGTTGCTCCAGATGCAGAGAACATCAAATTCAGCTAACTAGCTCCAGGTTAAGAGAATGGCAGATACAGTCATGAGAATGGTTAGTAGTGTTTAATAAACTTTTTGGGGGCGTATCTTCCAGAAGGCGGAAATGTGAAAGACATGGCCTTGAGGGACCTCCACATCTCTCTCATCAGGCTGTGAGAATTAGTCTCCTCTTGTTGAATAGGAAAGGTTAGCGTTTAATAGTTAATGAAGGCCAGATAATCTGAGCAGATAAGAGTCTGCACAGACTGCATTTGGGACAGTCCCAAATCCTCTTATCTCTTCTCAGAAAGTCTGCTGTTTGTAAGATATTGCTTTAAGGAGAGGAACAGAAGCACATATGAAGAGAACCACTATCTTTTCCAAAGAATGCAGACTACACGAAGAGGTGCTGCTTTATAGGTTTATGGGGAGCTACAACAACATACTATATTTTTTTTCCCCTGGATTCAATACACTGACCCCCTGGTAGCTCAACTTTAAAACATTTACACCATTGTGGACATATTGTAAGACTCCCTCCTTCTTTTGCTGCTTGTACTACTCTGTGATCTGTATTGTTTATACCCAAGTGGCTCGTAGTGTACTCCTATGAGGAAATGTTCTGAGCATAGTGAAACCCAGGAGGAAACGGAGAGTGGGTTAAGCTTTCTTTGATGGAGGCATTCAGCTACCTTGTCTTTGTGCTCAGGGTTATTTAAGGGCAGACAGTAGCAAAAGTATCTTGCCCCAGTTTAACTCTCCCCACTCCACCCCACCTTTTATGTCTCTCTTGGGACAAAGCTAGCCCAACCTCTCCAATTCCCTAAAAGTCCTATCAACACAGGTCATGATTTACTCCTTCCGTGGAGGCTTTCCCCATCCCTCCTTGACAGTATCTCCTCCCATTCACTGGGGATTGGATGTAAAAATTGCGTCCTGCCCCTGCTACTTCTGTGACTGTCCAAAGTATAAGCTCCTTTTCCTCTGTCTTCTCCCATCTTTTCATCCCCAAACACTTCTGTGCTTTTCTTCCTATTACATACCCAACTTTTCTCTTCTCCCCTCCCTCTCCCACTTTTCTTCTGTGTCCACTCTTATCCTATATCCACAATTCCCCTTGCCCTCAGCCCCTCCACTGAACATTCCCTGCACAACCTTGCCTTAGCTGGTGTTTGACTCTCCCTGAGGACC